AGAACTCTGTGATGAGGAGATGTGGTGTTCTCCGAAATAGCTGCTATAACTTCTACCGCTTAGACTTTGTTGCTTTTTCAATTTTTCCAAATAAACAATCGTGGTACAAAGCTCAATAAAAATATTAAAAATAAAATGTTAATAAGCCACAATAATATTGACAAATAAAAAGTTGGCTATTTAGACAAGTCTCACAGGCTTCGTACAGATTTCTGTGCAAAAAGCGAGTAATCCAAGAGTATTCATTTTGATCGATAGGGGAGCTATACGCAATACATACAATTTTGTATTTTTGGTTAAATGTGTCCATGGGCGTAGCCAGGTAGGGGCAAGGGGCGGGCCGCTCGAGCTCCCCTAACATCCAATTTTTTTCCTATATATTCAAAAATAGTACCAGGAAATGTTAGCACGGGAAGATATTTCGGTGCAAAGCAACGATCGTTATTTTATCTTACAAAATAGCGGACGAATAATACAGAGTACTAGGGCTGTGCGATAAATTGATTTTTCAAAATTTTAATTAAGCATAAAGTAAATAACTCAATTATTCTATTTATTGGAAATTATGATTCCTCAAAAGTTCAGTTACTCGAGTAATCAAAATTTTGATTAAAAAAAAAAATAAAACATTTGAGTAATTTGCTTTATGGTTAATCAACATCATGAGTAAAACGAGCAATCAACGTTTCAAAGTACTCATTACATATCGTCTTCAAAAGAGTCACAACTCAAACTATTACGTTTGTTAGAAAATGCGAAAAATTAATAAATTAATAATTAATTAATAAATTATAACAAAAAGTTGCTCCAGCTTTTGCTGAAAGGTAAATAAAAGTTCTGCGTACATTTTTAGCTGGGACAGAGACTACGTCGCCGGGGGCATTCACTCTAGTGGACGAACGTCTAGCGACAACTTCAACATCTCGCTCATATCGCGATCCAAGAATCTCTTCTATGAGCGCTTAGAGGGTGCATTTTAGCTTGCTTGGCGATTTCAATGCCAAGGTGGGCAAGGAAGGGATCTTCCTGTGAGAGAGCACTCATCAACAAACCGACAAACGCGAGCAGTGGAACCACATTTTCCGATAATTACTGGTACGATGAGGAGTGTCAAGAAGCTGCAGAGAAAGAAGTTGCCGCCTACAGGATCATTCTGCGATCGGGCGCAAAGCTAGACGTATTTGCCGCAATAAGAAGAGAGAGGTCGAAATACGTAAGAGCGAAGAGCTTGAAATGCTGGCCGACAGAAAAACACTCGAAATTTTTATCAGAGAGTCGAGCGACTTACGGAAGGTTTCAATACTCCTGTAGGAACAACCATGACGACTTTTTCCCTTAATCTTATTACTTTAAACGAGCAATTCTTGTATATATGTATGTATATGTATATCCATAGGTTTCTCGTAAACGATTGTAACGATTTTGATGAGATTTTGTGTTCAGATAACGGTTTGCCATTTGTATTTTCAATTTGTTACAAATACAATCAAATAGAAAGTATTAAAAAAAACCAATTCAGAAATATTTTTGAATAGGGTTGTCACCTATTTTTTAACTAAATCAGTTTAAAATGGATATCAAATGAAAGGCATTTTTAAATATTTAAATAGTTTTTTGGTTGTAAATTTTTGAGTGAAAAAGAGGCGATTAAGGTACAGTGTTTCCCCTTTTGAATAAAAAGGGGATAGCTGAAGTCTAATTAACATAAAAATCTCTTCGTTTTTGAAGGTTACAGGTTTTTTTTTGAAATAGAGTTTTTTTCTTGGGAATGCACAGTTTTTTAAAAACAAAACAGAGAAAAGCAAACAGAGTCTCTAATGTTATACCCTGTTCGGACCGACATCGAAAACAGATTGAAAACGCGTTTTGTTGATTGCGGACTCAAAGCTGTTCGCACCGGCCTTTAGGGTATTCGTTTACAATTCTTACACCCCCTTTGCTTAAATTTTTGCTAAAAAAACATACCAAATCCTTTTTCATCACTCAACAACTTCCACTACGACAAATAAGTACATATATCGAATTAACAAGTGGAGACACCGATTAGAATGAGTGCAATGTAAGTTATCAAGTAGTTTTCAGCGAAAACTGGTTTTCGTTTGACAGATTTTACATGGACGAAAACTTAAGTTTTAGGTCGGAAACCAGTTTTTAATGCGAAACCGTGTTTTTGATATCGGTATATTAGAATTATAACGTAGTTTTCTAATGTTTCTCGAATCGACAATCAAGTTAGCGGGCGATATTGAAATTCGGTTAGAGAATGATTAGAAAACCACCAGACATTAAAAACGAATTAAAATATCGAGAGCTAACTCGCCTTTTTGTAGAGGTTGCTATTATTAGTTGCGTTCCTCAACTCGCAAGAAGTTGAAACAATTGACAGGAACTTACCAGAAAGCGTAGAAGAAAAATGGGAGAGTAAAATCGATCCTCTCTTTGTCAGTCAAACCATCAGCGATTTGAAAAGTGAATAAGCAAAAAAAGTACATCTGCATTTTCACCTTCTGAAATATATCGCAGCGAAGAAATATCAAGTTTTGTAAGTATTTTTGTTAATTTTCTTGCATATTTGCATATAATTTAGAAGATCGGCAAATGATAAGAAACTGCTATGTAAACAAAAAATCGCGCTCACGGAGTATTTGACAGTTTTACCAGTTTTCACCCGAAAGCGTTCCCATATTTTTTGGGTTTTCTCTCTTAGTTAGTTAGTTTTTGTTAAAAACTAATAAATCTTGATGTTTGTAAAAATTTCAATTATACCTTCTCATAAGCAGCTGAATTCGTTGTCGCCGTAGTTGTGTTTTAGTGAGCGAAATTTTTGGGCGAAAGTTGCTGCGCTGTACTAGGCGAAAATTCGCCGTTCGCCGGTATTGTGTTTCAACGGTTAGTTTCGTTCCTCAACTTTTTTGGACTGTCAAAACGCAAAATTGCTCTCAGAGAAAGAGAGAAAAACCAAAAAGTACGGGAACACTTTTCGGGTAAAAACTAGTAAAACTGTCAAATATACCGTGAACGCCATTTTTTTTTACATGGAAGTTTTTATATCATTTGGCGATCTTCTAAATTTTGCTCAAATACACCGGAAAATAGGTACTTACAAAACTTGAAATTTCTTCGCTAGGATACATTTAATAAGGTGAAAATGCAGATGCACTTTTGTTTTTGCCTCATCAAATTTGAAATTATTTACACAGCTGATAGTTTGACCCTTTACCAGATTTTACCAGCAAAAATTCTTCGGGAAAAATCTTGCAACTTCTGACTAAAAGAGGACCGATTTTACTCTCCCGTTTTCCGCTACTTTGCCAGAGAGAGAAAATTCTGTAAATTCTTGCAAATTCTTGAGAGCTAGGGAACGCAACTAATTGCGATTTCCCATCTAGAAAACGGCTGATAATGCCACTATTTGCATTTAAATAATATGCATATAAGAAAAAACATTATTAGAGTTCACTGTTTAAGACAAAACTGTGAGAGTTTGAGCGAAAGTGAGAAAATGTGAAATATTCAACAGTTTTTGACAACAAACATATGGCAACGTTTCGCACAAAAAACGCACAGATGAAACACTGACTGAAATGCAAAGCCACAACACAAACGAAGCGCAACGAATATTTGACACCGCGCTGTGGCTGAACCTTTTCAAATTTCGCAACCAAAGCAACAACCATGTTCAAGCTTTCGTGCAAAACAAAGCGCTAATTTTTGCCCTTTGCATTTTCGACCATAGAGTGAACTCTAGCATTGTAAAGAAATCAACTGTTTCCGAAATGCGCATAAAAGTCGTTTGCTAGCGTTAAATTATTATGAGCTTTTGTGTCTTCGTTAATTTGCCAAAGCGCTGTCGTCTGTCACGCATGTAAGAGTGCTTTGCTTACCTACCTTTTTGTTGCTTACAAAAATTTCTTGTGCATTTGTGTTGCCCTATCAGTACGTTTATAAACATATTCAGCGCTGCCGCTGAGGTTGGTGTTTGTTAATGCGCCATCTGTTAGTGATGTTTTAAGTACAGTGAGATCAGAGGTACGTTATTTGGTTAAACGTTTATATGAGAGTGTATACATATACTAGGGATGTTCATTTTTCAACTTTTTCGATCCCGGCATTCGCGGTATGTCGTTATCTCAATCCCGGGATCCCGGGATTTAGATATTCATTGCTTTTCAACAACTGAAATCGAAAAAATTGCTTTTATATAAATAATAAAAAATGGGTTTGAAACCTACTTTTTTATTTAAAGTGGCGTTTTTATTTTTTCTCTCTGACGTCAGGACTTATTTCAAAGGACTTTGTAATTTCAAAGATATGATTAACTTCAAAAATTATTTAAAAAATTTAATGCAATGAAGAATAGCAATATGGGTACCAAATGCAATAGGAAATTTCTTTAGAATTGAAAAAAAATTTTTTTTTTTTTTGGATTTACAAGGATGAATAGGTAATTTTTTACGCCGATAAAGTTAGGACGAAATTCGAGGAAGTTATCGAGTTTATATAAGTCCTTAACATATATTTTTTTTAAAAACATATACATATTGCGAAATTTCAAGGATAAAATTTTAAAAGGACAGTTTCAATACTTACCAGTCTTTCTGCACCAAAAACTTGAATCTGTTCCTGAAGCTCTAATAGGTCAGCAACTTTTGATCTTTATTATAAGTGTGACATGAGATAAGAATTTTAAGAAAACTTGTGACTCTAAGAAAAAGGGCTGAAATTTGCATGTTTAAGCTCGATTAACTCGACAAAGAACTGCGGTAGAAAAAAATTCTTGCACACATCGGTTACCATTAACTACATTAACAACATGGTGGAGTTTGAAGAAAATGCTGATATACCATTTTGTTGCTGGTACACTTGGGAAATTTTGCCACATAGGTTATTACCAAAATGTGATGTCAACTTTGTTAGAATTCGACCTCAAACCCGAACTGAAAGTGTCGCGCACTTTAGATCTTGGTGTGCGATATGTAGGTTATGCCGTGAGAATTCGCCGAAATATACGAGAAGTATAGATGCATTTTTAAATTCCTTTTTATATGCAAGATAAAAACAAGATCCTTAAACTATTGTATAATATTAAGACTTAAATACTTAACAACGTGCTAGACATCCTTTTAATTTTAACGCAAATTTTTAACAGATGTCTGACGATACTAAAGACTTAATATTGGGAGAAAAGTTTCAGAGCTTCAACGAGCTCGAAATGTGTTTACATCAATACGAAAAAAAGTACAATCAAGAATTTAAGAAGAAGCATTCAGTTACGATAGAGAAACTAATTGCAAAACAAAAAAAAAATATCTTCCGCAATCCGGATCTTATATATGGAGAACTGCATTTCGTTTGTAAGTACCGGCCCCTTAGACTGGAAGCAATTCAAAGGAAACAAATAAATGAAAATAAGTAAGTAAACCATTATTTTATATCAGCAATGGTACAATATCATCTATTCCAGAATCAACCTAGCGGATATAAAACAATTTTGCCCGGCCTCGATAAAATTTGGACTTACAGACAATAACCAATCGCTCTATGTAAGAGAGATTTTAAAATACCACGACTATCACTTCGAAGAAGTAATTTGTTCTATTGTAGCTAAAAAATATATAAAACTAATATTAACATGTTTTCTCTTAAGCTATCTGCACATTTGTCGTGTAATCATAGTTTCGTCTCGCCCTCAAATTCTGAGCCGAGCACATGTATTTCAATGGCGGTCTGCACATCTGTCGTTATCGGCTATCGACTAATCACGGAAAAAGCAAAAACGATTACGTGCAGCAATGTCGTTCACTAATCGTTTTGCTTGCGATTAAAATTGGCGTGGTTTCAGGAAAATTTCTTAAATTTTGTGTTAAACTAAAAAAAAAAAATATGAGCGATTCAATCATAAAATAAATAACACTCTCCAAGAGTATTCGAGGAAAGATGTTACAGAGAGGGCTTGGAATGAGGTGGCGCAACAAATGCTATGGCGCAACAAATGCTATGGCCAGGTGAATGCTTATCACATACTTTATATATTAAATTAATAAACTTGCCGGTTACCGTAAGCACCTTCCAGGTTTTCCTGGGCACGAATGTACTATCAGGTCGCATATCAGACAACGACGGGGAAAGCATTGGGCGTGGGTAGAGTGGGTTCAAGCGGTAGTGTGTGGCGTTGCAAGTGGACAACTCTATTGAGAATGCGTTGCTATCAATAAACGAAAATTAGGTTTTAGCTTTTATGCAATCACTCCGATGGGCAGTCCAATTTCGCCAATAAAATTGTTTTGAGACCAGCTTCTGAAATATGCATTAGTATATGGCACCCTGGTGAAAGTAATGGGTACGTTTTAGTCATTTGTACAATGATTTTGGGTTTGTGTGTCCAAACGCGTTACCCAAAGCTTAAATCTTTAACATACACGTGTATTCAAAGAATTAAACTCTAGTTTAAATAAACATTTAAAATTTCTGAGCACTAGCTTATTAATAAATTCGGTTTTAAATATGCACAAGCACAAACACGCAAAAAAAGGTGTTCTCTGCAAAAATATTCAACCCCCCTTCTTTGGCAACACAGAAAGGAGAATTCTACTGCCTGAGGGTTACGAGTGCAAATTCATTCTGCATCTACCAACTAGTGCGTTCAATCACATTATTTACTTTTTATATGTATTTTATATGCAAATGTTACATCAAAAATTTGATTTTGAAAATAACAGTGTTAAAGCTTAACACAAATTCAGAATATTATGAAAACCTTAAGTTTATAGTTTCCCTGCAAAACATTTTTACAGAGTGTTCTGAATTGTAGAGAAATTTTAAAGAATTCGTAAAGATCTCCTCCGATTTTTCGCCGAATTTTCTAAAATGAAATAAACTGTGCACACTTCGATTGTTTTACGAAATAGTGAAAGAAAATCGTAAAGATTCCATTATTTTCTTTCCGATTTTTTGACGAATTTTCTAAGATGAAATGTACTGTGCAAACTTCGATTCTTTTAGGAAATTTCGGAAGAAAATCAATAATGTAATTATAATAATGTCACAGTCGACATAGAAAATATAAAAAAATTCTGAAGCACCAAAAAAAAATATATCTTTTTGTGATTTGGTGCTATAAACGCGTTTATTTATAAAAACCGAAATTTAAAAAAATAAGAATAAGCCAAAAAGGTAAGTTTAATATTGCGATTAATGCTGCTATTTCATCATTAACTAAAATACCACAGTATATATTGTATGTTTATAAGCACTTTAATTTTATAGAAATTAATAACAAGCTAGATGAAGTATTAAAAGAAAACAACTGACTGCGACTTCATGACAGAAGAGTTCGTAAGTCTAAGACACAAAGTAGAAATTTCCCTGCAGGAAAATAAAAAACAGAGAACAACGCTATTACCACAACTACCATTGACCACGAAGGATGCAATATTTGATTTTGAGCGGAGCTTGAAATCAAATGATGACATGCGGAAGGAGCTAGTAAGTTCATTACATATAGCTAAAAATTAAATGTATGTAAGTATAAGTCAATCTATATTATTTACAGTTCGACAAGATCCTGTGCCATTCAAATACAGATACGGCAAAGTTCATATCCGGAAATTTAAAAGCTGTCTTTGGAGACGACAGCCTAGTTACGCAGTTCTCATGGACAAACTTGAAGGGCAACACGTCCGTTAAGGACTTTACGATTATTCAAGTTTTAAAAGGTCTGATATTTAAGGAAAATCATATGTAACACTGTAGGATTACTAAAATTTTTAATACTTACCTTTTGAACGCTTAAAATTTATATTTATCACTTTATTGTACATTTACTTACCTTAAACCTTGAAAACTATTGTGAATTCTTTTGTAGCTAACATTAAGCTGCCTCATAGGCAAACGAGCAGTTTGTAATTATTTGGTCGCTACCCTCGCAAACA